GGTTTAATTTTGCATATTTGAAAATGTAATTGTTCTTGGTAGAAATTTTGACTTATTGTTAAAATACTTCATTAGTAGTAGGGGGAGTCATCTCTCTGATATTTAAAAAAAAAAAAATAAAAAGAAAGAATATAGACATGGTCTTATCATCATGGAAACGTTTCAATGTCACAAATTTGTTCGTCAGTCAAACCGAGTTGACTTTGGTGAAATGTGATTCTGACTTTGCTCAATTAAGTGATGACAAAAGTTCCTTATTAGATTAAATTTCCCATCATTTTTGTGGTATATTTTTAATCTATTTCAAACCATTTTATATGGTTCAGGTACCATCTAATTACAGTGATGCCTTGTGTTGATTTGGAGTTAAAAGTATTGCTTTTTAATCGACTAAAAGAAGTATTTTGGTGCATCTTATGGATCTACTCTTTTGAACTATAAACTGATTGCAAGAAGTTGCACTGTCGTTACAACTGGAGTATAGTAGACGAGAACTAAATCACTTGCCTTAAAGTTTCTGGCAGCAATAGGTTGTTGGGAGTTCAGACTAAATTACATGAGTTCTAAGGCGTAAGAAGTGAAAAGAACAAAAATTTTGGATTTCTCAATGTTTCATATGTTTCCAATTTAATTCACTGTCTCATTGTCTCTGACATACAAGAGTGTTATCTGTTCTTGTGTATACTTTTACAGAGTAGGAGAATTAGTGTGTTTTGAAACACACTTTATTGGAACACAGTTGACTTCTCATTTTCTCTTGAAATGAAACTAATTTTTCTGGTAGTATTGAGGACAAAGTTAAAGCTATTGCTTCTTTTCTCTCCCTGACAAAAGAAGAAGCAGGAAGCAATGAGCATGAAAGTGTTAGTAGTGGACTACAAAAACGTTAGATGTCATGATGATCTCATACTGAAAAAAGGAAGGCAACTACAGAACTTATAGCCAGATCATACGGTATTTTTTCGACACACCATGTTGGTTGTTAAGAATCTTCAAAAAAGAGCTTATGCAGGAAATAAAGGTACCCGTCCATACGATTTCAATGTTATATCTAGAATGTTTCTCGCACTTTTAAAAACTTTCCTGATGTTTTAGCAATATGCAAGTGGAGATACATGAGCTGATGCAATAGACATAGATATGAAGATGTATGCAATCGTACAGTACGCTAAATTGTGACATTAACCTCATGTACATGTTGGCTAGAATCTGGCAATGAAGAATAGTTTCTTAATTGATGCTATGAGTTTTATATGAGTCAAAGGGCATGAAGCTCAAGGGTCTATGGCTGGATCTTAAGTAAGAGGCCTAGGCATGAAAGTTATTTGGTTCTAGAGATTCTTGTAGATTTTTGGGTATGAACACAATGTTAGGAATAATGACTCAAATCCCATAACAGATTTGTTTGAGATTTGTTAGAGACTTGTTTGAGATTTGTTAGATATTACTTGATAGACAAGAAGACTTGCAAAAGAAGAATTTTAAAAGAAAGGAGATTCTTAATAGGCAAGTTTGACTTGCAGAAGAAGAATTCTAAAAAAGAAAATGATTTTTAATAGGTAAGTTTGTATGCTTATAAATAAGTGAAGTCTTCACAAGGTTAGGTATGAGAAAAAGATGCAAGAGAGTTGTAGCGTTTTATGGGATAGACACCCCATGGAGTACTGGGTATTTACGTCTTATGATGGGTGGTGCATGGGAGTGGACTAGAGGAGATTGAGAGGGTTCACATAAGTATGATGAATAGGTACATATGGGTATGTGTTTGTTTGTGTTGAAATGGTGCATATGGGATGTGTTTGCTTGGGTTGAGAATACTTCATAGGACTAGAGGAGATTGAGAGTGTCTTATGAGTATTGATTGTTGAGTGAGGTTGATGATTTGATTTGTATGTTTGTAATTCTCTACAACTAGTGGATCTTTTTTCTCATCCGTGGACGTAGGTCAATTAGATTGAACTATGTTAAATTGTTGTCTCTTGTGTGATTGATTGACTGCTTGATTATGCTTCTGCTGATTTGATTGGATTGAGCTTTTTTGGCCTAACACACAATGCCATTGAGTTTAGTTTTTATCATTGTCTCAATTGGTTGATCATGAGCCAGTAGTAAGAGAAAAAATTTTAATTTGATCAATAGGAAGCCAATCTGGGGCAGCACAAAGATATAGTGTTCAGATGGGTAGTTTTGGTTGCTAAACAACGCATTCTGTGGGCAAAATAAAAACAAAAACAAAGCTCTGTTGCTACTATGGATTGAGTTGCCACTTTGATATTCTGGCTCCTTTTATTATTATTTTTCTGAATGTGTAAAATGTTATTATCATTGTCAAGCAGGAATACATTTAAAATGATGTAAACTGGGGAAAATATTGGTGATTTAGGAGATCCTGTCAACTTGCTTAGACCTAGAATAATAAGCTCTGAAATCTAAAAAGATACGATTTTGTTTTCCATTTTTTATTTGCATATGCCTATTTCATCCACTTTTGTTCTTCAAGATTTTAATTCTTTTGATGGATACTGAATTCATATAAAAAATATAAGAGATCTAGTATTAGAAAATTGAACACTTTGGCTTTGATTATTTCTTTTTTTTTTTTTTTTTTTTTTGAGAAGTGACTTTGATAATTTCATATTGATTAAATTGTTATAAATTTAGAAAAGTTGAGATACAATGCAATGCGAAAGCTGCCATAGCCAGTTGATCTCAATGCGGATCACAAATTTCATGGGCAACTTGTCTGATATGCAAAGTATCAAACACATTTCTGACACAGATCTCCCTTTTTATTTTCTTATTTGCCAAGTTTTATTTCCCTCTTTACTGTCAAAAAGAAAAGAGTGGTCTTTTTTATTCAAGGTTCAGGTCACACATTATGCCCTTACCACTTGTTTATTACTTGGAAATCTGACTTTTATCATGTTCTATTGACTTGTTTCATATCATGGCTGAAAAGTTGAAAAATGGTAGGATATACCCCTTCTTCAAACAAAATAAAAAGAAGTCACTTCAGAAAATGAACATGCTAATTAAGATTAGGGATCTGTTAGGAGGAAACTTATGAGCTCATATCTACTTATGGTTATTTTGGCCTATATTCCAGTATGCTAGATTCAATAAATATTAAATCCATATTGGTTGAAAAGCCACCATGTTTTCAGTTATAACCATGAGTGCAAATGCAAACAAATTAAATTTGCATTGAGATATACTTTCAAGGATAAGGAGAAAAGAATTTCTGTAGGTAAAGAAATCCATGAATAGGATACACTAACATTAACTAATTGATAACATAAAGAATAATAACGAAGCATTTTCTAAAGAGAAATAGATGTTAGACTATAGGATAGAAGAAATATACTTGATTAGGGGTATGGTTTCTTATTCTGGCATTTTTGGACGGTTTTTTTTTTCCTGGTTAGCTATTGTTTGCTTCTTTATATGCTTACTGCTGATGTGAAGAATAAGAGCAGTAATTACCTACGAAAAAAAACCACTTCTGTGAGGTTCATAACTCATTGATTGCGATGTTAATATTTGTATATGTAAGGATAATGCATAAAGCAAATGTTTCTAGAAAAGGACCTGTCCGAAAGAAAACAGGCCCACCAGGGTGGTGACAGGCAGAGATAAGTCCTTCAAAACTTCCTAAGAGTTCTTTGTTGCATCCTGTCCGAAAGAAAACAGGCCCACCTCGGTAGTGACAGGCAGAGATAAGTCCTTCAAAACTTCCTAAGAGTTATTTGTTGCATCTTGTTGGGCTATGAAAGGAGGGATACCTAACGATGATTTATGCCACTTTTTAGCTCAAAATATGGCAAAGCCTATGAGGTTTGCATGCAATAAAAGGATATTGCAACTGTTGTTTTTGTTATCCATTCTTCTAATGCCACTGTGTTGACAACACATTGATCTTCACTGTTAAACCTTCAAATTGAAGCTTTCACATTTTTAAGGGAAGAATGAAATTGCCTTCTGGATTTTACACAATGTTAACCAACCAGGAAAACTGCTTTCACTCTGATACATTCACAAAGAGAACTCCTTGTTTACTTTTCTTTTTGTCATAAATCCAATCATCATTGTTAATGATTTTTAGATTTTATTTTTCAGTTGTTTCCAGTACATTAAATAGGCAAGAGAACACTATTGAGTTCAATGTGGATTGATTAGAGCATTGACTATTATTGCTTGTTGGATTAGTAACCATTGAAATTTTTTAAATAACTATTTTTTAAAAGCTTTTTGTAAACTAGTTTTGAAATTCCTGGATTGTCCCATTGAAACAGCCTTGGAGATGAGCTGTCATCAACTCCATGGAGTAAAGTCTGACCGGGGAACTTGTGAAGAATTTTCAAGCTTGAGCTGTCCTAACCTTGGATGATCCAGATTTTTTTCTGACTCTGTAATATCCTTTGTAAGACTTGAATTGTAGATTGAGCTGATTGATAATCTTAAATTCTTAATCGGTAGAACAAATCAACCATAAAACTTGAGTTTGGATGGTCTATCTTTTTATTTAATGGTTTCCTTATGCTGTTGTATAAGTATTAATAAAAAACTAAAGACTACCGGCAGAGCCTTTTCAATAAATTGATATATCGGAACTATGTTATGGAAGTTGGCTTCAGCATATGAGATGGAAAGTGGATCATGTTTTGTTGGGCAGGGGTTCTTCTGGTCGAATCAGGCCTCAAGCTTCTTTTTATATCAATCTTGCTGCATACTGTACAGTAGTTTGATAGTAAGCATCGTATCTGGTCTAGTTTTGATTCTTTTGAAGCTAGTTTCTTCTTGTAAATATCTGTTTTCTTTCAACTTTGGACTTGGACCCTGGAAGACAGAAAAAATGGAATGGATGGTTGATGGTACTTCATTTACAAAAGATAGTTCGGAATCTTTTTTTTATTTCTAATTTGGGTTTGGCTTACTAGATAGCAGCAGAGATCTGCATGAATATTTGATTATGAGCAGTCCAATTCCCTGGTGGAACACAGGCATGCATGGTTATGACTCAACAAAACTTTGCCTTAGATGTTTATCGGGTTAATAAGAAGATAGGCTGACTACATTTTTTCTTGTTTATCCTTTACGTTCATTATGATTTTTTTAATGAATTGACTGTTGCTGTGGTAGTAATTCCTCAAACTTTGTCATATTTTCAAAATGCTATATTCATTATCTTGTTTGCTTGACTCCAGGTTATTATGTCGAATGTTGAGTTTTACATGGAGGTTTAGCAGAGGAATAATAGTAAGTGCATCTTCAATCTGAATAGAGCCAAATAGCAGTGGCAGATATCTCTACAAAAACTATTGGATTTTTCCTAAGCTTCAATTTCTCAAAAAAATTAATCCTATTTTACATAAAATGATCTCTTTAGATCTTGCTTATTTGCTATTACATTCCCTTAACCTACAGACTACTTACTAAAGTTAGGTTTTGCACATGCTTTGTGGTACAATTCTATCATGTCATATAAAGGGCCGGTTACCTACCAATATTGCTTAACTCAGGTCCAGTTCATTTGTTCCCATCCCAAGTCAGGTTGTTCCAGATCATTAACAATGTCCCAAATATCATCTTCACTGGCCTCTGGAGGATCATGGTGGTCTCCTCCAGAGTGTGAAGTACCTGAGGAGCTTGTTATCTCCATCATTGTGGCTCTCTCAGAAGATGTTGCAGCCCTGTTGTCATGAAGTTGTGTTCCTCGTGACACAGCTTCTAGTGGGCGTCTATCAAATGCTCGAAAGCTGCCTGATACCACATAGACTCGACACAAGCTGAATTCGTGTCTCAACTACATTAAGAAATGGTAAACAAGCCAATGGTACTTAGAAATGGAAGAAGTACATGTCTAGCTATAAGCCCACAGAACTATGTAACTGTATGTGTGCTCACCGTAGGAGTAGCAGCAGCAGGTGGATTGGCTACTGCTTCTATGGCTCTATATTCGTTCATCTTCCATTTGGTTTTCCTCCCAGAAGGAGCTTTTCCGTTATAAAAGACCATGGTTTTCTTCATTCCTATGACTCGGTCATCTGATGAGTAGACATAGCTGGGAGACCCTGTTGCTTTCCAGTATCCAGAAGTCGTAGTTCGGTTAGGCCTCCCTCCACGAGCTTCCCTCTCTTGTCTTGGTGTAAAGTAAAACCATTGCTCAGTGTCTCCTCTGCAAAACTCCCCAGCTAGTTCTGCAAACACATTAAAAAAAAAAAAAAAATCAAAACAGGTTACTTACTGTAGCGTTCTTTTTAAAGCATTTTTAACATATACAGCTTCATGTTGTAATGAGCAGTGAAGAAAATTGTACGTGGAAGGTCCCATGGCTCTACATCATAAATGTTGAGGACTGGGATAACAAGGTGCATGTCTTGTCTCTTGCCTTCTAACTGATTGTGTAGGTAGAAGGAAACTAACTCTTCTTCTGTCGGAAAGAAGCGAAAGCCAGTAGCAACCTCCATTAATTGTACGTACCTATATATGTGTTGTTCTCGAGATTCTCGTACTTTTTGTCCTTTGTTATGTTGCTTCGAATGAGGAATCCATGTAAGAGCAGGAGGTTTAAATAGCCATATGCATGCAGGGTGGGGGCAAGCTTTTGCCGAGTGAATTTGGAAAATTTGTGGTTGTTTTAGGATTGGTGGAAACTTCTACGCGGTAATGCAATGAAGATAATGTTCCTTTGTCCTATGATATTGCTTCACTTGTCCCAATCCAATTTTCCATCCAATCAAATCCGATGTTGAAGCAGTCAGCTTCTTTTTTTTTTTCCTGTATATCGGCTGCACGGTATCACATCTACACCCCTACAGCTGTCTTTCTGACTTACTATGTATCTTTATCAAATATGATGACGTGGTCAACGTGTCACACGCTGCTGTGATACTTGGCTTTACTTTTTGCTCGGCCGGCTAAGGAATTTGTTTATTACTCAATTCAATCCTCCAACAACCAACTTTGTTCATAACTATAAACTAGGAAATTTGTGTATACTCCTATTACTTTTTATGCACAAAGGGTAAATCTCAATGAAACCTTCAAAATTCACTCTATCAATTCAATTCAGTCCAATTTTATTCTGGTCAATCGAGCCCTCTAACTCTGTTATTCAATCCAATCCACTCTCATTAAGAGGACAAAATTTGCATGAAGCCGAGGTTTGTAAAGTTTTTATTTTTAAAATGATTTAATAAAAATTTTATTAAAAATTAAAATCAATAGATTAATAAAATTTAACGTGAAAATCAATAATATTTAAAAAATTATTAAAAATATTTTTTATAATTCAAATTTTATCGATATTTATTTAATATTAAAAAATTTATCAATATTTTTTAAAATATCTATTTAAAAGTATCAAAATTTATTAAATTATTTTAAAAATTTTATACAATTTTATCTAAGTAATGAGATTTTTTAGTCTATCGATTTTCAATTTTAATTTTTATTTAATCATTTTTATAAAAAAACTTCATAAATTTCTTATAAAAATTTCATTTAAATCTTTTTTCTGATTAACAATGATGATAAATACTTGGCATCGATAATCTACTTTGATTTATTGCCATTGTAGAAGTTTAGGTTGTATAATGAAAGGTTATAATCTCGACTGTTACATCAGAATACCCGATCAAAAATTTCACAATAGATTAACATTTATGGAATTGATTTGACGATCTTTTAAGGTTAAGTTGAACTGAATAAAAGATGCGGGGTTGTATCAAAGATTAAAGAAGTGCAAGGGGTTGATATATGTCAATAACTCGTGGTGTGTTACTGCAATTGCCAAAGGAGTATCTTTCAGATTGTGGAAAGCCCACATGTCCATTGCACCATGCTTATTATTTTTAATTTTTTAATAAGAAAGAAGAAAAAAAAAAAAAAACATGGGAAAGACTGGTTTTTTAAAGGTAAGCATTGTGACTAACTAAAATAGTATAGTATTAGTTCACATGATATGCAATCTTTTTAAATTTTTGGAGGTTTCAAATTTAAGAGAGACATTTAATTTCTTCCTCATTTATGTTAAATAGATAGGGATTTTTAGGCAAAAAATAGAATAAATTTCTTTGGTTTTATTATTATTTTTAAAATATTTGCTTATTCCTTTTGGACATTAAAAACTTGAAATTCATACAAAAGTATATAACATTTATTTTAAATTAAAAATTATAGCTTTAAGCTTTTAATTAAAACCAAAAGTTATTATTACATTTTTAGATAAAACCATTATTTGTAAATTCATAATAGCTTTTGAAGAAATAAAATTTAGTAAATGATAAATTTTAATTTAAAATTAACCCCTAAAATATATTAAACATGCTTTCCTTACTACAATCCAAATACAGTTTATTTTTTATTTGAGATTGTCAATCGTTGAACCCTAATTACTAAAATTAAAATTTAATATTTTACTAATAAATCATGATTGACAAATATAACTTAATTCATGTTGTGTCAAATTAATAGTAATAAAATTTTTCCTAAATAAATATATTTATAAGAAAAGTTATCTAATTATAGTGTTGAGAAATTACTTACTTTCATTGTTTATTGACTGCAATTGCAGTTGCATGGTCAATTAATATAGCATGCATTGATTTTTTTTTTTTTCATTTTCTTCTGTATAATTAATATTACCAGTTAATGATGAAAAAATTGAAACAAATCCCACTGATCTGACTATCGTAGAAAGTTTCACTAACGTATAATTATGGGTATCAATTATAAAAAACAATAAACTTTGAAGAAGCCCAACTTTTAAGAAGCCTATAAATAACCAAGAGTTTCGATATGTTGACAATGAGAGCCAACCCTGAAGAAAACAAGAAAATATCAACGAGTTTAAGGGAATCTAAAATCTAAATGACACAACATTGGTCTACTGGGGAGAAATTAACATGGTTAGATATTTCAAACTTTCTCATGCAATAACCATACAATTTAATATATACAAGGAGTTGGATAATGCCTTAAACTATATCATTAAAAGTGAGTTTTTTTTTTTTAATTTAAAATTTAATTGAATTAATTTATATAATTTATCGATTCATGTTTAAATAAGTTGGTATGAGATTTTTATTAACACTTAAATATTACGGCATCGAATATGAAATTAATATTAAAAAATTAAAAAAATTAATTCATATAATTATTTTTAAAAATTGATATTTATCAAATATACCTTCGAACAAAATTTTCCCATTTTATTTTGCCAAGGAGATTCGCCTGAGTCATTTTCTGGGATGTACAAACGTAATTTGGTCTATAAAGGACCAAGTCTTACTATCTTTAGTGAGATATGGTGAAAAGGACAGACAGATCACAAGCAAAAAAAAAAAAAAGTTAAAAAATCAACTTTGCAAAAAGTATCCGATGTTGTTTTCAAAATCTAATCCATCCCCTGGCTTAGGACTTCTTCTTTTGGAATTGTTTTACCTTTTCAAAATCTTTTTCCTTTTTTTTCATGTATCCGCGTTAAAGGGCGAGGGTTCCACACACGCCAGTCTTAAGCCATACGTGCAAAGTGATATTTCCTTCTGGCTTTGAATTGGAGCTTTGATTTTTTTCTTGACTATTTTTCAACGTCGTAAGGCTCTGGCTAATACCATATGACAGCACATTAAGACGGAGACCCTTCTTCTTTGGGTTCCCAATTTTTGGATTTACCAAACACAAAGTAGTCATTTACTTTTTCTTTTTTTTTTTTTTTAAAGTCTTGGCGAAGGAAGATTTTGTCTCATTTTCCCAATTTTGTACTCTTTTTTTTTTTTTTATTGCTTTCTCTTTTGAGACATGCATAATCTACTGACGTTGAAATTTCTTTTCTATTTCTCCTAATTGTTTGCACTTTTTGCTTCCCTAGCAATTCACGGGAATGGTTAAACAATAAATCACATACAAAAATTAATTAATATGATGAAGGAAATTACATTTAAATGAAAATCATTTATGTTTATTAAGAAAAAATTAAAAGAATTACATCTATAATTGAAAATTTATCAAACTAGTATATATTTAATTTTGGAATAATTGATTCATAACATGTTATTCCAAAGTGACATTTAATAGGTTTTGTATTCAAATTTCAGTATTTGCAAATTTTTTATATTTTCAAATTATGATATTTTTGTAAAAAAGGTATAATGAACAATCCATACATGTTATTAAATATATAATTAAGCTTCTTTTGCTTCTAGAGAAAATATAGGATATGCTAAAAATAAATTTTCATATAGATGCTCAATAGGTTTCCATGTTAAGATATCAGTCTCATCCTCTCTAGGAAGGGATAACTGCAGATTCTTTGATAATTGTATAGGAAATAATGCAATCTGAAGTGTCTACAACAAAGGGATTTTTCCTAAAACTGGATGCTACTATTTTTTCAGCAGAGATAGAAATTAAACATGAACATCACAATTAATAACTCATTAGAAATTCATGTTTAAATTGTATGGTAAAACCTTTTCATCAGATAAATCTTACTCTCTGTCTGACATTCGAATATGAAACTTCTAAATAAGTTTGAATGATTTAGGTTTTTCATTAATCATCAGGCGCATTATGTACAATAATCCGCATGCTGAACTAGTTAATTTATATTACCAAGATGGTTGAGGAATGCTTTTTGGCCATGGTGGGAGAACAAAAGCTAGAGGTTGATGAGAGTAGAAGTTCCTACAACCTACTTTTAGTTTTCTTGTCTAAAGGTTATATGAAACCAGGCAACCTCTATTAGCATATATTGTTAATAGTTGTACATTTAGTTATGTATAAATATGTTTGTACTCTCTTATGATATAAATATACATACTATAATCCTAAATAGAATAGGGCAAAACATTTATTTCTTACAAATCCGTTTCATGGTATCAAAGCGGCAGCTTTCTCTCTTTCCTCATCTTCAATTCTAATCCAAATATTTGTCTTATTCTCAGATCTAACAATAATTATTTTCTATTATTCTACTCTAACAACTTTCTTTATAATATATTATTTCTTAAATCTTCTAATGGCTTCCAACAACCAATCCTCTTTCATACTGGCTTTTTCTTTTTCCAATATTTATAGCCTTATCTCCATTAAGTTGAATTCAAAAAATTATTTATTTTGGTGTGATTAAATAATACATTTTTTGTTATGCAATGATTTAATGGGGTATATTGATGGCACTATTGCACTTCCTCCTAAAACAATAACCAAAGATAATGAAACCACATCTAATCCTATATATATGGAGTGGGTGAAGAAGGATTTTTTTTTTTTTGTCTGAAGGTAACATTGTCACTAAGTGCACAAGCATAGGTCTTGGGTTTGTCATCTTCTCACCAGGTTTGGATAACTTTAGAAACTATTTTTCATCAACAATGTCAAGTAAAGTTAGATCTGTTGTGTGATGAGTTGCAGAGTTTGAGTAAAGGAACTATATCTATTGAAGAAAATCTTGCCAAGATCAAATTTATTTCTGATAATTTAGTAGCCATAAATCATCCTATTTTTTATTTAGAATTGGTTACTCATACTTTGAATGGATTGCCAAATACCATTGA